GAATGGGAAAAGGAAGGAAGGGAGGGGAAGGGAAAAAGGAGAAAATATTTAATACGAAAGAAGGCAGTGCTAGAGGAAAGAGAAGCAAAATGATGAGACAGAAAATAGCAAAATGGCAAACATTAAGTACTACTTTATCATTATGTTAAATATAAATGGACTAAACACTATAAATAGAAAGACAGAGTTTGGTGGAATGGATTTATAATACTTGCTTGAACTATATTTATAAGAGGCATGGCTCCCATTCAAAGACACAACTGGTTGAAAGTAAAGAATACAGATGCATCATGCTAAGAATAAAAAGGACAGTCAGAGGGGGCTGAGGACAAGACTCCATTGGTAAAGTGCTTGCCACACAAACATGAGGACCTGAGTTCAACTCCCAGCACTCATGGAAAAAGCCAGGTATAGTGGTATGAGTTTGTAACCCAACACTGGAGAGGCACAGACAGGCAGATCCCTTGGGCTCCTGGCCAGCCAGCCTACCCTAACATGCAAGCTCCAGATCCTAGTTAGAGATCCTGTCTCAAAAACAAGGACGTTACCTGAGAAGGAATGACATCCAAGGTTGTCCTCTGACCACCATATGCATTCCATACACACATGCACATATACATATAACACATACAAAATAAATGAGTGAATGATGGATAAATAAAGAACCAGAGAAGCTACAATAAAAAAAAAGACTTTAAGACCATTTTCTAGAGACAAAGAAAGACACTTTATGATTCAGGAAATCACAAGAGTTAAAATATCAGAAGCACTTAGGAAGGCATCTATATTGCTATTAAAAGAACAGTTCATGTACTAGGTGGTAGGCTGCATCACAATGATGCTCAGTATCTCCTTCCCAGCCACTGGCTGTCAGAAACTCATCAAAGTGGATAATGAACACAATGGTTCAGCAGTTGAGAACACTGACTGTTCTTGCAGAAGACCCGGGTTCAAATCCCAGCACCCACATGGTAGCTAACAACTGTCCATAACTCCAGTTCCAGGGGATCCGACAGCATCTTCTTCTGTCCTCTGCAGGCATTGCACAACATGGGTGTACTTACCTACATGCAGGTAATACACACATACATGTAAACAAAAATAAATTTTTAAAAACCCAAAACTTCAGCCAGACATGGTGGTGCACACCTGTAGTCCCAGCACTTGGGAGGCAGAGGCAGGTGGATCTCTGTGAGTTCCAGGACAGCTGGGGCTACAGTGAGACCCTGTCTCAAAAAGACCGAAAAAAAAACCTTCCTACTTCCTATGAGAAGCACCTGGCCACAGAAGTGGTTGCTGATGCCCTAGGTGAGGAATGGAAGGGTTATGTGGTCCAGATCAGTAGTGGAAATGGCAAACAAGCCTTTCCCATGAAGCGGGGTGTGCCTGCTGCTGAGTAAGGGGCATTCTTGTTATAGACCAAAGTGGACTGGAGAGAGAAAGCACAAATCTGTTTGGATGCATTGTGGATGCCAATCTGAGTGTTCTCAACTTGGTTATTGCAAAAAAAGGAGAGAAGGATATTCCTGGACTGACTGATACCACTGTACCACAGCAATTGGGGCCCCAAAGAGCTAGCAGAATCCACAAACTTTTCAGTCTCTCTAAAGATGATGTCCGCCAATATGTTGTTAGAGAGCCCTTGAACAAAGGAGGTAAGAAGCCCAGAACTAAAGCACCCAGGACTCAGTTCTTACACCGCGTGTCCTGCAACACAAATGCAGACACTGCTCTGAAGAAACAGCATACCAAGAAGAATAAGGAGGAGGCTGCAGAATATGCTAAACTGTTGGCCAAGAGAATGAAGGAAGCCAAAGAAAATGGCGGAACAGCTTGCCAAGAGACGCAGGCTGTTTTCACTGAGAGCTTCTACTTCCAAGTATGAGTCTAGTCAAAAATAATCTTTAGGCAGGGTGTGGTGGCGCAGGCCTTTAATCCCAGCACTTGGGAGGCAGAGGCAGGTGGATCTCTGTGAGTTTGAGGCCAGCCCGGTCTACATAGTGAGTTCCAGGACAGCTGGGGCTACAGGGAGACCCTGTCTCAAAAAGACCAAAAAGAAAAAAAATTTTTTAAAGTAACAAATAAATATAATCAAACCTTGAAAAAAAAAAACAGTTCAGAAGCTGAAGAAATGTCTTAGTGATACAGCATTTAGCCATGCAAGTTTGGATCTCTAGCACCCACATAAAAACTGGGCAGGTATGGTGATCCTCTTGTAATCCCAGTACTCAGAGGTGAAGAGAGGGGATCCCTGGGGGAAGCTGGTTAGCTAGACTAGCCAAATCAGCAAGCTCCAGATAGAGAAACCCTGGCCTACTAAATAAATAGGAAAGTGACCAACAAAAACATTTGATGCCAAGCTGGTTTCCACATGCACCCACACACAGGTGTAACCACATACACATGAATTCACACACACACACACACACACACACACACACACACACCACAGAACAGGCTAGGGAGATGGTTCGGTTGGTAAAGCACTTTCCTCACAAGTGTGAGGACCTGAGTTCCAGAGCTTCAGAATCTGCATAAAAATCTGGACATGTAATCCCAGCCATGGCAAGATGGGAGGCAGAGACAGGCAGATCCCTGGAAGGTCAAGAACAAGCTAACCTGGCCTACATAGTGAAACAACAAAAGGTGGAGGGTATCTGAGGACCAAATCCAGAGGTTGTCCCCTGACCTTTACATACACTACATGCATGCATGTACCTGAACACATGTACACACACACACACACACACACACACACACACACACACACACACCAGTTCAGAAGGCTAATAGGTTCCAGAAATTGTCTATCTGCAGAAATAGCATGATCCTGAATGATATGTAAGACGTGGGGGCTGGAGAAATGGCTCAACAGTTAAGAGCACTGGCTGGGTTCAATTCCCAGCACCCACATGGCAACTAACGACCATCCAGTTCCAGAGGATCCAATGCACTCTTCTGATCTCAGTGGGCACTACAAGCACATACTGTACTTACATACATGTAGGCAATACACTCATACACATAAAATTTAAAAAAACAAAAATATTTTTAAAAAATCAAAACAAGGGACTAGAGAGATAGCTCAGCAGTTAAGAGAACTGGCTGTAATCTTGCAGAAGACCCAGGTTCAAATCCCAGCACCCATATGGTGGCTAACAACTGTCCATAACTCCAGTTCCAGGGGATCTGACACCCTCTTCTGACCTCCACAGGCATTGCAGGACACAGGTGCACTTACACACATGCAGGCAATACACCCATACACATAAAATAAAATAAATAAATAATAAAAATCAAAATAAATTCACGTATTTTAACAAAATTGGAACACAAATTTTAGCATGTAGGAAGAGATGGGTTTTCCCCTAGTTACAGAAATAACAGAGTATGTACAAAATACTTGCTATAATCTATACCAAAATCCAACCCAGTATGGTATGTTTTAGCCAAGAAAACCACTTAAAATGCACCAAGTGACCAAGTACACACCTGTGTGATGTTCACTGAATTAACACACACACATACAACATGTGTATTACATAGTAGTTTTCATTTTAGCATGAAATGCAGTGTGATAGCAACCCAACTTAAACTTTTATAGGTGTTTATTTCCTGAAGCACAAAATAATCTCAACAATGACTTCCACCGTGTAAACAGACATGATGGAAATCAGGAATCCAAATCAAGAACATTCCCTTTGGAGCGGCCACATAACAAAGTGTCTAAGAACATGGACAATAGAGCTAGAGTTCCTATATTCTTAAAAGAATTGAATGAATAAAAATTCATAAAACAGCTCAATCAATGCCTGACAGATACATAATGCTATAGAATGTTTAACAAAAATCTATTAAGTAAGAAATATTTCCCCTTAATAAAAGACTGTTAGCCGAGGGCTAGAGAGGGGCTCAGCAGTTGAGAGCACTGGCTGGTCTTGCTGAAATGAATGAAACCTGGGTTTCATTCCCAGTGCCCACATAGCAGCTAATAACCATCGCTAACTCCAGTTCCAAGGGATCCAACACCCTCCTCTGGCCTTCAGGGGAACTGCATGCATGGGTGCACTTATATACATGCAGCAAAACACTCATACACACACAAAATATTTTTAAATGTTCTATTTATTATAATTTTTATGTGTATGCGTGTATTGCCTGCATGTAGGTAAGTGCACCCATGTTGTGCAATGCCTGCGGAGGACAGAAGAGGCTGTCGGATCCCCTGGAACCGGAGTTACAGACAGTTGTTAGCTGCCATGTGGGTGCTGGGATTCGAACCCAGGTCTTCTGCAAGAACATTCAGTGTTCTTAACCACTGAGCCATCTCTCCAGCCCCACAAAAAATATTTTTTAAAGTAACTACCACATTTAATAATAAGTATTGAGAAAACGCATGGTAGGTAGAGTGAATGGATGGATGGCAACCTTTTGTACCTGATACAGTCATTGAACCTCTAATATTCTTCCATCTAAGAAAAGAAAATATCACCCTTGTCATAGGGTTCTTGTAGGGCAGGGGAGAATGGCGAAGCATATCTCTGAAGCTTATAGAGAAAATAATATAAAATATTCCTATTGATGTCTTACTGTTACAAATTAAAATATATGCAAAACACAATCTAAAGCATAGTCATTCAAAAACTGTGGTTGGGACTTAAACATTAACTTGATATTTTACAGAAGGTGAAAGGTAAGAATTACAGTTCCATTTAAAAGTTATTCTATAACACACTGCAATTATGTTTTTCAAGAAATAGTTCAGTGTTTTGGAAAGTGAAACCGAACTCATTCATTGAAAAAGTAAGAGGCAGGCAGAGGGAAATTCCGTAACTCAGAAGTTGTAATAAATACAAACACTGCCCTTGATTTTGCAACAGGGACTTCCCTCAAAGACTTGCTGAGTCAACTGTTTATCCAATCAGAGTCAGGGAGGGAAACTGCCTTTGCAGATAAATACTGCACAGTAATCCAAGATTTTATGAGACACTCAACAACTGCTTAGATACCCTCTGAGCCTTCCGTCAAGGAATCTCCAGCCTCAGCACCATGAAGCAAAGCACTGTTCTTATTTTCTGCCTTATCCTCCTGACTCTGAGTGGGACTCAAGGTAAGAAAGAGCAAGGACTACTTAACAAAATCAGAAAGAGGCTGGGCATAAATTCTAAAAATAACATATTTTAAAGATTCAATGTGCGGGGCATGGTGGCAGGCCCTTAGTCCAGCACTCAGGAAGCAGAGGCAGAGGCAGACAGATCTCTGTGAGTTCAAGCCCAGCCTGGTCTACATACCAAGTTCCAGGCAGGGCTACAAGGAGACCCTGTCTTAAAAAAAAAAAAAAAAAAAAAAAAAAAAAAAAAAGATTCAATGTGTGCCTATAAAGGAGAGAGAAACAAGCAGCAATTCCTTCTGCTCAGAGTTTCCATACGGTAGTTGAAGTCAGAGAAACAGGCAAAGTAAAAGAAAGGGAAAGAGGAAAGAAGGGAAAAGAGAAAGAGTGAGGGGATGAGAGAGAATAATTCACAGATACTCCCTTACCTAAGCTTACTTAATATGAACTGTGCCTGAAGGCATGGTTTTAGAATCAACAAGTTGCAGCTCCCTTTTTCAAGATAATCAACTATTTGATCATTCAGACCTCTGATACAATGGGAAACATCTCTCCTGAGACACACTAGTAACATGTGACAATATGGGAAGAGGTTCTGCTAAATATTGCCTAATTTATATTAAATGTCTAAAATGAAACATTATGCTAATCTCTCTCTCTCTCTCTCTCTCTCTCTCTCTCTCTCTCTCTCCCCTGCAGGAGTCCCTCTGTCTCGAGCAGTACGTTGCATCTGCATCGAAATCAGCTCTCGACCATTTAATCCAAAGGCCTTAGAAAAACTTGAAATTATTCGTCCAAGTCAATCTTGTCCACGGGTTGAGATCATGTGAGTAAAATTCTACCTGCTGATAACTTCCTGGATGTAATCATATATTAAATGTGTGATGATACTCAGAAAAGATCAGTAAATAGTCTAAGATGACTCTTTAACATAAAGCAAAAAGTATTCTCTACAGTGAAACTTGAATGTCTGACTTTAGAACTGTACATTCCATCTGTTTTGTTGGCCTGGAGTTGTTTTAAATATTTCACTGTTTATATTTCTATAGTGCCCAAATGAAAAAGAGTAAAGAAAAGAGATGTCTGAATCCAGAATCTGAGACCATCAAGAAGTTATTGAAAGCAGTCAGCAAAAAAAGGTAGGCTTGCCGTTGTTTGCAGAACTGCTTTGCTCTTTAGGAATTGGCAATCTTGGGAAGAAATATCTGCACTGGGCTTTTTGCTGTGGGATCTGGGCTTAAAACTTGTCACCACCATGCCCTTTTCTACCTCCATTTATATATATATGGGGTGACTTCTTGTGTCATAAATATCTAAAATCATCCTGATATCTGTCTAGAAGTAACAGGCAATCATTTTAACCTTGTGACAGAGTTATAGCTATTAAGGCAAAGCTGCCAAATTTCCCCCCTTTCCTCACTAAAAAAATGTGGCAAGTATAGCAGCACTAAAGTGCACCAAGCTTTTTTCCCTGAGGTGCTTTGGGTTCCTGGACTGAAGCCAGAGTTTATTCCACTCACTACACTTTTCTCCTCTTACAGGTCTAAAAGAACTCCTTAAAACCAGAGAGAAGTAAATCACTGCAGTGCTAAGAAGGATGGACCACAGAGGCTGCCCCTCTCCATCACTTCCCTATACAGAGTGTATATCAAACCCTATTGTCCTTGGATTGCAGTTCTCCTGAAAAGTGACCAACCACGGTCACCACCGTTAGCTGCTACTATGCCTGCAGGCTAGTGGGTGGTTCATCAACCTGAGATAACAGTATCTCCAGTAACAGAGTTCTAACTCTATTACTAAGAGCTAGCCCCAGAACTAGCTCAGATAGTGGATGATAACTCTCCCTGGCACTAAACTGTAAGCTATGCTGAGGTGCTACATTCTTAGCCAAGTCTCAGTCCTGCTCCTGACACTCTCTCCTCACCTTCCTGTCTTTTCACTTTTGAGTTGACCGCAGTTCTTTTAATTTCAAATGCAGTCAAAGTAATAGTACCTTCTGTTCTTCTAAGAACAATCTCTATTTCATGAGCTTCCATGAAATATCATGCCCTCTTCCCAAGGGATGATAGTTATGATTCTAAACACCTACAGGAAACTGAAAGTATCTGGAAGTGTGTGTATAAATGTTATTTAAGGAAAGACTGGACAAAGAATTCCTGGATGTTTTTATATTATTTTTGTTGTATGTGGAATAATTTTTGCAATTAAGTACATGTCAATGAATAACTGGAGAAGTTTTTATATACAGATGTTTTGAATGTTACATAAGACAAATATGTTGGGTGATTTTCAACGTAAAAGTGACGTGCTGTGCTAAAAATATTAAAACAATTGAGACCCAAAAGACAATAAAGCAATGATAACCAATATGAAGTTCCCTGTGGGTCATGTGACTGAGACATTTATTTAGAGGCTTATACTAGAGAATCAATGGCCTGGAAAAGAAGTTGGGATGGGGGGAGGGGGTAAATGGGTTCGAGAATTACCATACTCCTTTCAAGTTTATGCTCCTGAAAGGTCTATCATGCCAGAGCCCCCCCATGACTGACATGGTGTAAGAGAACTTGGCATGAGCATCAGACCCTCTCCTGGTTAGTTTTTATTATCAACTTAACACAACCAAGGGTCACCTGGGAAGAGGGGGTCTCAACTGAGGGATTTCCCAGACCAGACTGGCCTGTGGCCATGTCTGCAGAAAACTATCTTGATTGTTGATTGATGTGGGAGGGCCTAGCCCACTGTGAGTGGGACCACTCCAGGACAGGTGTTCCTGGGTCATGTAAGAAAACCGGCTGAGCATGAGCCAGGGGAAGCAAGCCTGAGAGCAAACCAGTAAGCAGTCTTCCTCCATAGTCCCTGCCCTGACTTCCCTCAGTGATGGACTGGTTCCTGGAAGCATAAAGCTTAAATAAACTCCTTCTTTCCATAAGTTGCTTTGGGTGGGAATATTTTATCACAGCAACAGAAAGGAAACTAAGCCAGTACCATATAGCTAAGTTTCCATCCATCATCTCCACTTGAATGTTCCACAGGAGTACCTTAAATCAATTCACTTCTCTCCTAGGTCTGCTTCTTCACCATGAATTCATGTTCATTTAGTTCTACCATTATCCACTCAGTTCCGCAAACCAGAAGCTTGTATTACCACATCTCTGCACCTCCTATGCCCAGTTAGTTACTAAGATATCTGCAGCACAATTAGTACAAATCAAATTATTAGCACCTAGAATATATAAAGAATTCTCATGGGGGGGTGGGGCGCAGAAGGATGGCTCTGCTGGTAAAGGTACCTGCCACCAAGCCTGAAGACTTGAGTTCAATCCCCAGGATGTACATGGCAGAAGGATAGAACTGAGTACTGCAACTTCTGCTCTGATCTCCATATCTGCATATGTGTGCCATGGCGCGCGTGCATGCACACACACACACACACACACACACACATATACAATTTTCTGTGTAATAAAAACATTGCTAAAAGAATTCTCATGGGAGCCACTGGAGAGATGGCTCAGTGGTTAAGAGCACTGGTTGCTCCTGCAGAGGACCTGGGATCGGTTCCCTGAACCTCATAGCTGCTAACAACCATCCTTAACTCCAGTTCCAGCTCTTATCTGGCCTCTTCTGGCATTGGCATGCATGTGGTACATATACACTCACACTTAAAAAACAGAAGAATTCTCATGGATGAAAAGGATAAAATCAGCCAGGCATGGTGGCACATGACTTTATTCCCAACCCTTGGGAGGCAGAGGAAGGTGGAACTCTGTGAGTTTGAGGCCAGCCTGGTCTATAGAGCGAGCACCAGGCCCAGCTGGAGCTACAAGGAGACCCTGCCTCAAACATCCCCCCCCTCAAAAATGATAAAATCAGACAAGCAGAAGCAGTTGAAAAACAGAATTCCACAGAGAAAAAGCACAAGCCCATAATATGAAAAGATAATCTCATTAATAAAGAAAATTTGAATTCAAATCATTAAATATATCATTTCACACTATCAGACAGGCAAAAAATGTAAGTCAGATAGTTCCAACCATCAATGAGGAATGTACAGCAATGAGGAAAATCTATCACTAGTGAAAAAAAATTAGCCTTGACTGTTGAAAATAGTCTGACATTGTAATATGGTTGAACAGGTACATTCTGCATGCTTTGCAATCATACTACCATAAAACAATTTATTACATAAGACAAGCAGAGCAACAAGGTTAGCAACAAGAATAGTTTAGCAGCATTGGTTGCTCATCAAACTAGATGGTAAGGACTTGTTGAAGACACCATATGCTGAAATTGAGCTTTAAGCATCTTCCCTGTGGGTTAGCCCTCACAGGGCCAGAAGATGCTATGAGGCTGCTGAGGGAGAATTATCATCAGTGGTCTTACCTAGTTAAGGACCCTGCATGCAACACTATCAACAGGCCAGGCAAGATGCACCCAATTGCTGTAAGAGTGCCAAATCTGTCATGGGGCAGCAAACTCCTCCCGGTTTGGACTTGAAGCCCACTCCTCAGGAACAAATCATTATCTGGTACTATAAACCCAGTCAAAATCCCATGACTATGGGGTATTGTAAGTTCTAGTGGGCCTATCTATATCCATTTTGTTAAGTGGACATGATGGGCCCATCAAATTGCCTTCTACTTATTTATACCCATAGATTATTACTGCTGTCATTTTTGATCAGAGAAGCTTCTTTTTGTAATTGGCAACAATAACTCCAAAGGCTCATAATGGGTCCAAGTAATGAGAATAAGTGACAATCAAGTATTCAGCCAAAAATGGAACTGTAGGTCACACATACACACACCATGGCTCAGGAAATATTGTGGAAGAAGGAGCTGAAAGAAAGTAGGAGCAG